ATGACGGCGGTCTGTAAATAATCGAGCCTGAACCAGACAATCCGGTGATCAACATCATGAGCATCAATCTACGCAGTTGGGATACGATGACATGTGTCAACCAAGTTAGCGAGTCTGGCCACCCCATCCACTCTATTTACAATCCATCCGTCCAACCAATTTAGCAATCATCCATCAACCCAAACTGCCAATCATCCATCCATCCATCCACTCAATTTGCCAATCACCCATCCATCCACCCAATTTGCCAATCATCCATCCATCCAGCCACCCAATTAGCCAATCAGCCAGGCATCCCGCCTACCAATTTACTAATCATCCATTTATGCATCCATAGGACCAGGCGTGTAACGGGATCTGGTGGATCTGACTTTGTTACATGTTATTGTATCCAAGTAGCGTAGATCTATGCTCATGATGGCACCCACAAGATCGTCTTAGTCATTTTAGGACGCCATGACAGATTGTAAGATATGTTTGCCCTCGTAGGTAATAAATATCATTAATGTACTTCCCATATTTCTATTTATCATCTATATATCATTAATATATATCATCGATCTTTTCAGACACATTTCACTTGACACATGAAACACTGAGTGACGTGAAATAAGTTTTATTTTCACTCATGGTTTGACGAGATGATACGTCATGTTTGACACTTATTATAAAACCCAATTCTTAAAAATTATAACTAAACAATATAAATCCGAGAAAACGCGATTAACAAAATCAAAACTCTCCCAACTGTCCACTAAAGACGGTTAACATCTTTGTTGAGGCACACAGATAAGACATAGTTCGGTATTCGAAAAGACATAAAACCCCAGACAACATATGTTATTTATCAGATGCTAACCTATTATTGTCATTGTATGAATGTGATCAACAGTCATAATATTATCCATCAAACGACCCTGTTGTTCTCAACGTACACGTCAAAACTCAATTCTGGCGCACGAATACATAAGAACAACAAACATGGCGAGAAGAGAAGAGTGTAATTGAGAAACAAATAAACGATCTTCTGTATCAGTTAGCGTAACTACAGGTAATGACCTTTTTCAAATGAGTGAAATAAAGTCACGTGTATATAAAATGTTATGAAACAACACATAGCTCAAGTGTTCTGAACAGATGTTAGCTCGCACGTAGCACGTGGACTCTTCACAACACTGTAAAGTACGATTCACTCACATTCCCACTCGCTCAGAGCAAGTTCACTGAGTCGCTCAGCGATCAGCTGATCCGGACGAGCTTTCTCCGCCTAGAATGGTCATCGATGGGTTCGGCCCGGGAAAGCGAAATTTCAATATCCCCTATTCCCAGTAAAGCGAAAACCAAAGTTGTGCTAGAAGTGCCGCGAAAGCGAATTGCTATGAAAACATCGGATTACCGTACTTCAGATTAGCGCGCGTCCCAAATACTCGATCTGTGAGCCTCTTAGCTGACATGAAGTTTCAGTTGTTTCAAGTTTCAGCACTTGATCTATAACAAGTTTAAGCATCGGTGTAGGAAAACCCTCCGAGAAAAGAAGGATTGGAGCTGTGTAGTAAAATTCATTTGTTGTTTGACTTATTTGACTATTTAATTTAATCCACCGTGCAAAGACGGTTGATCGAGCAGATCTCACTAATTTTCAGCTAACTGGGACAATTTCTGTCGCCGACATTTTGGCTGTCGGTGCTTTCAAATTTGATATTAGATCTAGGTGTACCTGTGCAGGTATTCTAAATAACACTGAATTTACAATAAGTATTAACCTTCATTAAGACTGCAATAAGTTATATTGCAGCGTCAGAAGCAAACATCTAGTTCTATGGCGGCATTTTTGATATGTCGGTAGCGCGTATTCTTTGCATTGAAGCTTGCTGCAAAATTTTATCCAACGGAAGTTTTGTTATATTTAGTGTCGTTAATTCGCCCATGTTAGCATGTCGGTGGTTCACCAACCAGACCCCAAACCCACGTTTAGATTATGTCGGTAGAGTCAGAGTAATGTACGTTCCGTTGTGTTTGTTTACAGCTTTTCTTGTGGTAAATCATCGCACAGACCCACAAGATAATTTTTCTTGATTGGCCTGTTCATCTTTTCTCGATATCTAAAAACATATAATTTCGTTAACATTGATTTTTCTTACAAGATGGAAAAATATGCTCGACATCGTAGAGATGTTTTAAGCAAGTAATCATACGTTACCGTTATAACTCAAAATCTAGCATATTTTTCATAGTCATAGTCATCATCATTATTCATTACCAGAACTAATTAACGTTACTATAATTTACGTTACCGCCACAATTGGAAACTTGGAAAGTTTTCCGAAATCTTTGCGATTTGTTGTCTGGCTTTGCCGAAATATCAAATGTGAATCAAACTTTAACTAGTGAAATTAGTTTTAGGTTGTTATCGCCCTATAACGTCAATGAATGCTTAACGATGTAAGTTGTCTATGCACGATATTTTCAATTCCACCTCCACATGATCCATCCACAGTCTGTGGCTCAAACATTTGTGGTGATGTTTAACAAAATACTTGACAGAAGACTTTGTTGAGACATGAAGTAGTTCGGCAAAATATTTTGAAATTTTTGTCACTGCAGTGAAGATATCAATATTTTAGAATATAACTCAGCATTTCCCGCTACTCTTGGTAATATTATTATAATATGATATTTGTATAGCGCCAATATTTAGCTCAGCTCAGCTGCTCAAAGCGCTTTTTTTTCCCCTCGATCATTGGGTGTTAATGTCAACGTCATGTTGTATATTTCAATTTCAACTCCCTGGGGACCATACAACTCTTGCAGCCATTTAGGCGCACCAAATCAATATGGCTTTTCCATCCTTACGAGGCTCCCATTCACAGCTTGGAGACATATATGCAGTTCGTATTGGCAAAACTAATTAGGGTGTCTCTCCTGGTGTGGTTTACCGTGTACTTTTTATCAACTGTGATAACACCATTGTCACAGGGATGTTTATCAAACTAAATGTACTATATGCATGTGTGTGAGTGAGTATGGTTTTACGCCAGTTTTAGCAATATTCCAGCAATAACACGACGGGGGACACCAGAAATGGACCTCACACTTTGTACCCATGTGGGGAATCGAACCCGGGTAATCGGCGTAGCGAGCGAACATTTTAACCACTAGGCTACCCCACCGCACCTATATACAAGTACATACACAATAAGACTTTTGCAAGTCAAAAGTGAGTGAGTGATTGAGTCTAGTTTTACGCCGCGATCAGCAATATTCCAGCTATATGGCGGCCGTCTGTAAATAATCGAGTCTGGACCAGACAATCCGGTGATCAACAACATGAGCATCGATCTGCGCGATTGGGAACCGATGACGTGTCAACCAAGTCAGCGAGCCTTGACCACCCGATCCTGTTAGTCGCATCTTACGACAAGCATGGGTTACTGAAGGCCAATATTCTAACCCGGACCTTCACGGGTACAAGTCAAAAGACACCAGGCAAGTTGATCATGACTCACATAACAGAAAGAATCTGTACGTGCAACATCATTACGGCATTTGTCGTGCAACATCCTTACAACTTAAAAAAGTAAAGAACACCCGACATAAGCAGTGAGTTGGTGAGTGTGTGAGTATAGTCTAATGCCACATTTAGCAATATTCCAGCAAATTCATGGCGAGGGACACCAGAAATGGGCTTCACACATTGTACCCATTTGGGGAATCGAACCCGGGTCTTCGGCGTGGCGAGCCAGCGCTTTAACCACTAGGCTACCCCACCGCCCAGGGGCGAGTTGGAATACATACAAGCCATGATAGATTAGTTATCGTCATGTATAGGAAACGGCTGTTCCCTAAATTCATTGGAGAAGTATATATTTAGATTCTAACCTCATGACCATGGCCCACCACGTGTTGACCTTGTGGCGGTCCCATAAAACACCTCACTAAGGCCATAATCCATCGATTAGGTTTTGCGAAAATACATGGATATTAAAAGAAGCAGCCCGCATATTACTATGTTGAAGTAAATAGTGTGAAACTTTCAAAATTCCCTACAAGCTAACTATTGAAGATACTCAGTGCATTCTTCACCAATGGGCTTTACACATTGTATCCATTTGGGGAATCGAATTCGGGTCTTCAACGTGAGGAAATAGCGCTATAACCACTACGCCACCCCAATGCCCCATCACAGACCCCGTTACTGTGGTTTTATCTAGTATTTTTCATTGAGCAGAAACATATGTCAGGTGCGACCCAATGGTGGCTGAAAGGGGTTGGTGGGTGGTGGGGGTAATGACCGTCCTCGATAAAACGAAAAACCCTAATAAAGTGATGACGTAAGAGGAGAAAGCGGTAAACATATTCACGTCTCGTGTTATCCTGGTATCACTTACTCACGGTCACGATTAAAGCGACGAACCTTCTCAGCCACCATGGAAATGCTGGGTTGTGGGGTAGCCTAATTGTTAAAGCGTTCCCTCGTCACGCTGAAGACCCGGGTTCGAAGACCCACATGGGTGCAATGTGTGAAGCCTATTCCTGGTCTTCCCCGGTGTGATATTGCTGGAATATTTTTCAAAGCTGCGTAAAAATAAACTCACGCACGCACGCACGCACGCACGTACGCACGCACGCACGCACGCACGCACTCACTCACTCACTCACTCACTCACTCACTCACTCACTCACTCACTCAGCATTGGCATGACACCCCAGGCACGTGGTTTCCCTGCACTGTGTGGCAAGTCTAAATTATTGGGTGTGTTTGGGCGTTACGTTTTATAATCACTTTCATGTGATCCCTCATTTTTTTCTCAGTATATTTTACAACGATATCCTCTTTTCGTTATCTATTTCCTCGGCGGTGTGGTAGTCAAGGAAACCATTGTTCGATAAACTGCTCTTAACAGTTATTTGAGTATTTCCGTTTGTGCCCACAATATCGACATTTATGTTCAAAGATCCCCAGAATTAATATCATTCTTCCTGTTTTTAAGAGGACTAGACGGGTCAGCCCCATGCAATATGAAACTTCTATATAACGTGAACCAATCATCATCTGGATTTGATTGCATTGTACACTGGCGACCAACACATTGTGGTTGACTGTCACGAAAGCATGAGGAAGAAAATTATGATGAGGGTCGGACGTATTTGCGGATATTCACATTGGGCATCAGAACAAGTCAGATCTACACAGCAACGCTGCCTTTCGGGGGAGCTTGGACAACGTATCCAAAGACAAGCCTCTGATTGTATCTTGATGCCGACCTGACTGTCAGGTCCTGGATGTAACGGACAGTATCACTACATGGTAGGACTAGAATTTCTGCTGTGTTCATGGTGCTCCGTGTCTTCAAGCTAGTTCAACTCTCACATACCGTTACATTCCAGTGTGGCTTAAATACCAACAGTAAACCCTATAACGATCAGTGCCTGTCAATTGATCAGGGTGTTATGGTCTTTGAGGAGTCTTTGATTGAAGTGTCATTACGAATATCTCCCTCGGCGAAAATCGAATATGACTATGTGTCATGATGGTGTTATTTTAAAACATTGTGTACAATGCTGAGGCAGTAGATAATTTAGTTCAATTACAACGTGGTGATTCATGTGATAGAATGGCAAATAGAGAAATACAGAAAAAGTGATTTCAGTCGTCGACGACGTCGTTGTGTTTCCAGAAGGACTATTTTGTTGACAAGGTTGAAGCTGCAGGGGAAAGCCAAGCATCATCTGGCCTGGAGGCACCATACATTAATTCTGTGGCATAAGGTTTCAACACTATAGGAAACCTTCAAGAAATTGACTAAAAGTTGTCAGTTAAAGGGATTATACTACAAGAAACACTGCAACTGGATGCTGTCCTGGACTAAGACTAAATTGTTGAAATAATAACATCAGGAAACAAAGCCTTATTGCAACACTTTCTTTGGACATTTTCACAAACATGGAGATACGTTGGACCCGGTGTTTCATAGGTGTGTTGTGCTTAATGTCAGTGTGTCATTTCCAGGAATGTCTTCCTATAGACTGCTTTCATAATTGGTGTTGGTGTACATCTTACAAAGGTAGTTGTGAGAACAATGAGGACAGGCTGCAATACGTCCCACGTCTACAGTGGGCTGGGGACATTTACCGTTTTGCATTTGTCCACAACCATTTGAAGACCATCACAAACAGTACCTTTCAAAACATTAGCCAATACACCCTACATTTGCTGGATCTTACACACAATCACATTTCACATATTTCTGCAGGTGCCTTTGCAAACCTAACTAACCTTCTTTACCTGTATGTAAATGATAACCCTATCGCGTTAGCTGAACTAGGTGAGGCGTTTCATTCACTTCCTGGTGTTTTTGAACATCTGTACTTGAACAGATTAAATATCAGTGACGCCGGGTTAGAAGGCAGTTTCCTTCATGGTCTACAGACAAAGAGTCTCACTGAGTTACATCTCGCCCAAAATAAACTGACAAAATTTGATGTTACTCCCTTTGTCTCCTTCAAAATGTTGACTTTTTTAAACCTTTCGCACAATGCAATTGAGTGGAAGACATATCATATGATTCCTAAGTTAGAAAGCCTACAGACTTTAATTCTTGACCACAATAACTTAACTGAAATACCCATAATGTGCGTGGATCATCCTCGAAAGCCCTCCTTTCCAAACCTAAAGACGTTAACGATAAACTATAACCATATCTATACACTAGTTGCTGGAAATTTTCATTGCCTCCGGAGCCTGACGGATTTAATCATGTCAGGAAATGTAATTAGGAGTATCAAAAGGTTCTCATTTCAAGGTATAGTTAGGCTTGAAAACTTGGTTATATCTCACAATAAAGCAAATCTTACAATACAAGGACAGGTATTCAACCCAAACCTCTCAAATCTAGATCTGTCTCATTCAAACATATACTATTTCAGTACATCCGTATTTTTAAACTGCACCAGGATCAAGACAATTAATCTTTCTGGCAATGACTATAGCAGAGGTGATAAATATTACTTTAGATACCTTCTCGGAATAGCAATGAACACAATAGAGTCATTCAACTGCACAAGTTGTGGGTTAAGACAAATACCAAGTGTCTTTTCAGAAATGGGCAGACTTAAAGAACTGCATCTAAGTGAGAACTCAATACAAGACATCCAGAACAATTTCTTTGACAGCAATCACCACCTTCGGAAGTTGTCCCTTGCCAACAATTCCATTAAGACTCTAAGTAGATTTGCTTTTCCCAATTCGGTGAGAAAAGAATTACATCATGTACATCTTGAAAACAATCCTTTTGTTTGTAACTGTGATTTATTTTGGCTCAAGTCCTGGCTGTTATCTGAGACAAGGAAGTTTTCAAATCACCTGTCTAAATATACATGTTCAAACGTTCCTTTTCAAGGCAAGAATCTTGTGGATATAACGTCTATTAACAGTTCAGACTGTTCCGAAACTCGCAAAAGGTTTTCCATCGTGTACTTCATCGTTGGGACTGTGCTTATTTGCCTGTGTTTCTTTGGCTTGGGCTACAGATTCAGACGGAACATTAGGTACTGCTGCTTGACGTTCAAATCTTCATCTTCAGAATCTATTCCTCTTCTGAGAAACGATGTCTACATCCTGTACAGTGATGAAGATTACTTGTGGGTGAGATACGAAGCACTGGACAAGTTAGAAAATGAAGGAAAGCAAAAAGTATGCTTCCGCCAAAGAGACTTTAACCCCAAGAAATATGTGGTTGATAATGTAGTGACAAACCTGAGACGCTGTAGAAAAGTCATTGCAGTTTTATCCAACAGCTTCTTCAAGGACCGAGCTTCGCAGTTCGAGATGTCCTTAGTCCGGAAACGTCTGGAGCGTCACAAGGAGATGCTGGTATTGGTTCTTCTTGAAGACATTGAGACCAGATACATGTCTCATTCTGTCAACAGTATGATGCAGGCCTGTCTAACTATCAAATGGTCAGAGATGAATGATGAAAGAGATGCTTTTTGGGAGCAGCTGTTAACGCATGTGTAAAAAATGATTCTTTGGGATGAGTGATATATGGTCTGTGGGTCAGGATCCTCCAATGTTGTGTATAAACATTCCATGGACATGACATTTTCCAATGTGAATTTCCAATAAACATATTCTCCATTTATTCAGTTCTGAATTGGACCCGTGAATAGCCAGGATAGTATTGGTCATGCTTGTTGTAAGAGGCGACTAACCGGACCGGGTGGTCAGGCTTGCTGGATGGTTGACACATGCCGTCGTATCAGATCGATGTTCATGTTGTTGGTCACGGATTGTCTGATCCAGACTCGGTGATTGACAGACCGCCTCCATATAGTTGGATATTGCTGAGTGCGGCGTTAAACAACAAATAGTTCTGGATCGAAGTGGTTAAAGCGATGACACTCCCACTACTTCTAGTGAGTGAGTTATTATTTAACGTCACATCGCCTATATTTCAGCCATATCGTGACCCCACTACTTCTACTGAGTACGATATGTGAAGCCAGTTTCTGGTGTCCCCGCAGTAATATTGGTGGTAAAGCGGCGTAATTCCACTCTCACTCCGAAGGGGATTAGTCAGATTTATTGTTGAAATAGTTCCTGTTATAACATCACTGCTTAACTTATGTTTTCTTGCTACTTCTCAAATTTCACTGACTTTTGCCATGTAGACTATTGTGAAGTTTGTGCCGTTCATTATAGTTTGTAAATTCAGAGCTAGATATGTTGTTGTTTTAATTTGTATTTAATTTAATTTTCAATATTTCGATTTCATTCGTTCCATTATCCATTTTAAGGTCGCAGAGAGCGTATTCTATGATCGATTTACTTCACGTTACGACCATATATTACAGTAAAGGAGGCATGTTGTGCTTTATATTTCCGGCTCTGTCAGAGGTCATCATTGATTATTATCGGTTATTGAACCAAGAAGGAACCTTACCAAGTCTGGTTAATACCTTGGAACAGTTTGTTCATGTTAGGTAGACCAGGCATCTTAAAAGGCTTGTAAACTTGATGGTTACAATTTCTTCCTAAATTGTAATTGTTTGTGAATATGTAAAGTTGCTGTAATATTGCGGAAAGGGCCGTAAAATCGTAGTTGCTGTGTCGTTCAAATCCAGGTGAAGTTTGACATTGTTTGATATTATTTTATTAATCTTTCTCTATTTTTTTTGTAAATATGCAATTTGTAAATAAACTTAATGTACACAAATCTGCTGATTTTATTCAAATGTGGTTGGGGGCACGGCTGGCTCTATCTTTTATGGCACCACAATTGACTATGCAGAATTGCGTCCCTTTGACGGACGCGAAACCTGTGATCGTGGATTAGTTCAAATAATCATTGTTATGGCTTTTAGATTTACAGCACGAGACAATGGCTCCTGGGTTTCAGCAGTGTGGGAAACGTCTGAGACCTGCATGGTTTTGGACTCTCCTCCAAGGTCAAGCTTGCATGTCGTGGTAACTGGAATATTGTGTACAACGGTGAGGTGGGGTGAAATTGGGTTTAACGTCGTACTTGAGAATATTTCGCTCATATGACGACGTGCATGTGTGTGTGTGTGTATGTGCGGCTGCTTGTACTAGCCCAGACTTAAGCCGGTTTTATAGTGCTAGCCCACTGAGGTACCATGCCGCAGTGAAGCATGAATACCCTACTCAGACACATTATACTGACTCCGAGCCAACCAGTCCTTGTTGTACCCATTAATGCCGAACACCAGGCAGGGACCAACAAGTACCATATTTCAACGTCTTTTGGTATGACGCGGTCGGGGATCGAACCCGCGACCTCCCGCTCTCCGGGCGGACGCTCTAACCACTACACCACGGAGGCGGTTTGTGTACAACGGTGATACACTCATTCGCTATATAGTTTGTGGATTACCTGTCAAATATGGGTGGGTAGTCTTGTAGTCAAAGCGTTAACGCCGAAGACCCGGGTCGATTCTCCACATTGGTACAATGTGTGAAGCTCATTTCTGGTGTCCCCTGCAGTGATGTTGCTGGAATATTGCTTAAAGCGGTGCACATTCACTCACCCCTTGCCAAATAGGACTAAAGACAACAGAAGCGACTAGCCCGTAGAATCCGCTCACTGTCGAAACGTGTCTTAATCATTATTCCTACGTTTCAAGTGAGTGAATGAGCTTAGTTCTACAATGCGCTCGGCAATATTTCAGCTATATGGCGGCGGTCTGTAAATAATGGAGTCTCGACCAGACAATCCAGTGATCAACAGTATGAACCTCGATCTACGCAATTGGGAACCGATGACATGTGTCAACCAAGTCAGCGAGCCTGACCACCCGATCCCGTTAGTCACCTCTTCCGAAAAACACGGGTTACTCAAGGTCAATTCTAACACGGATCTTCACGGGTTCCTACCTTTCAAAACAAGTGGTAGGTTAATGAGTAGCCACTGTAGGTAGCCTAGATGTTAACGCGTTCGCTTGTCTCAACGAATACTGGGGTTCGACTCCCCACATAGGTACAAAATGCGAAACCCATTTCTGTATCCCCGTTGTGATATAGCTTGGATATTGCCAAAGGGGGCGTAAAAAATATATCACTTACTTTTATGAAAATACCCAATAATACCCAGCCATGTTCATGAAAATGTGCCAAGTAAACGGCTTCTTCATATATTCCAGAGGTTTTTCAGGTGAACAACTGCCTTGCTTTTGCATGCCATCGGTTCCCCATTGCGCAGATCGATGCTCGTGCTGTTGATCACTGAATTGTGGAGCATCACGTGCTCCTGCCATTTACGAACGCATGTTCACGATATTGTCTGTCGTTTGGAAGAGAACTCTTCAAATAGATTCTGGTCTAGTTCACTTTCTAGAGTGTTTGTGTGTTGACTGCAATCGATTATGCTTTCAGTAGACAATTCTCATAGGTGTGGAAAGGGTTTTGCGGCTTTTATTTACACATCGTTTAGGCTAATCTTGACTATTTCACATGGTGTTATTCGTGCTTAACAGCCATCAGTTAGGCCATTGTTTACCATAGAGTTTCACATTACAACCTTTGGGCCGTGGCTGTAATCAGATCCACGTCTAATATCTCTTAACCCGTGAAGATCCGGGTTAGAATTGGTCTTCAGTAATCCTTGCTTGTTGTAAGAGGCGACTACCGGGATCGGGTGGTCAGGCTCACTGATTTGCTGACATGTCATCGTATCCCAATTACGGAGATTGAGGCTCATGCAGTTGACGAGTGGATTGTCTGGTCAAGACTTATTTATTTTCAGACCGCCGCCATACAGCTGGAATATTGCTGAATGCTTCGTTAAACGTACCAACCAACCAACAATTATCTCCTCGTCTGTCCATTGTTGGTCATTACTGTACATATGTTTTCATATATTTTGTCAAGCATTGAAATACTTCTATTTGTCAAGTGTTTGAAACACTTGTTTTTCCAAGCATTGAAACACTTGCATTGTCAAGCGTTGAACCGCTTGTATTTGTTTAGCCTTGAAACACATGCATTTGTCAAGCGTTGAATCGCTTGTATTTGTTAAGCTTTGAAACACTTGTTTTTGTCAAGCGTTGAAACACTAATGTCTTGTATTTGCCAAGCGTTGAAACGCGTTTTATCAAGCATTGAAACACTTGTTTTGTCAAGCATTGAAAGACTTGTTTTGTCAAGCATTGAAACACTTGTTTTGTCAAGCATTGAAAGACTTGTTTTGTCAAGCGTTGAAACACTTGTTTTTTGTCAAGCATTGAAACACCTGTTCTAGTCAAGCGTTGAAACATGTTTTTTTCAAGCAATGTAACACTTACATTTGTCAAGCATTGAAACACTGGTTTTCGTCAAACATAGAAACACACTTGTTTTGTCAAGCACTGAATCACTTGTCTTGTCAAGCGTTGAAACACTTGTCTTGTCAAGCGTTGAAACACTTGTATTTGTGAAGCGTTGAAACGCTTGTATTTGCTAAGTGTTGAAACACTTCTTTTGTCAAGCACTGAAACACCTGTTTTGTCAAGCTTTGAATCACATGTATTTGTCGAGCATTGAAACACTTGTTTCAAGCGTTGAAACAGTTGTTTTGTGAAGCGCTGAAACACTTGTTTTGTCAAGTGTAGAAACACTTGTTTTATCAAGTTAAACCACTTGCATTTGTTTCGCATTGAAAAGCTTGTTTTGAAACACGACAAGCATGGGTTACTGACTAATAGTTCTAACGCGGATCTTCACGGGTCAAAATCCAGAAAGAACCCTATTAAGTCTGATTTTGGTATTTCAAATCATAATAATCAAACGAAACTATTTTGTCTAATGAAATCAGTCGGCCATTGGGCTGAATCTCTTCCCATATCGTTGTTAACGATAGGATATGCTAGAAGCCTCTCTGTCACGTATACGCCTGCCTCTGACACAGGTGCGGCTATAGTCGGTGTTGTGGTTTGATGTACTTCCTGGTCGACAGGAGCACTTCCTGGTTGTAACCTGCTCGTGGTTGTGCCCTGTTATATGATATAGGCTAGAGACGTACTGTCACGTCTGTAGAGTACAACAGGCCATTCGTCACTACTCGTCCCTTTCCGTAACCTGACAGAAGATCACTTTCGGCTTGTCACAGAATGACACACACGTGAAGATCCGTTTTAGAATTGGTCTTCAGCAACCAATGCCTGTCATAAGAGGTGACTAACGGGATCGGGTGGTTAGGCCCGCTGACTTCGTTGAGACATACCATCGTATCCCAATTGTGTAGATCTAGGCTCATGCTGTTGATCACTGGATCGTCTGGTCGAGATTCCATTCTGATCGTCTGGTCGAGACTCCCTTTCCGTAACCTGACAGAAGATCACTATTCGGCTTCGTTGAGACATGTCATCGTATCCCAATTGTGTAGATCGAGGTTCATGCTGTTGATCACTGGATCGCCTGGTCGAGACTCCATTCTGGTCGTCTGGTCGAGACTCCCTTTCCGTAACCTGACAGAAGATCACTATTCGGCTTCGTTGAGACATGTCATCGTATCCCAATTGTGTAGATCGAGGTTCATGCTGTTGATCACTGGACCGCCTTAGCCATATATATTTACAGATCATCATCATATAGCTAAAACATTGCCGAGTGTTGCGTTAACCAACAAACAAACAAGCAATAAGTCTCAAAGCTTGGTATGACACCGGGAAATGAATCGTAGTAAACTAAGAACCTGATGTTTTAAATAAGACCC